AGATTTTTTAGAGAGGGGCAAAGGAGAGAAGAGTCCAATACCAGGGAAACAGAAAAGCCCAGGAAGAGAAGGGGCTGCAGAGGAAGTAAAAAACAAAAGGAAAAGAGATCAGTAGGGGAAGGGATCTTTAATATTAGCGGGACCTCGCTTTCAAGAGAAGAAATTATGGTCCTTGACAAAGGTCTAAAATTTGCGCCCCCTAAGAATATGGATAAGTTCAGTACTTATATAGATACGCAAAAATATATCAGGAAATTAAATCTGAAGAAATATTTTTTAGGGCTCACAGGAGCCAAGGATAGTGCTTTTAAGAATTCTAATGATAGATTTACCCATACCTCATTGAAGAATAAATCTGTTTTTAATCCTCAAATTAGTAGTAATAACCAAGTGGAAGTTTTTAAAAAAAAATGGTTTAATAAAGATTTAGAGGATCTACATATTCCGAATAAGAAGGGTAACCGTGGATTCCAAATAGGTATGAATAAATTAATTAAAAGGAAAGACATAGTAGTAAGACCGGCAGATAAGGGAGGAGGGATCGTTGTACTCTCTAAGGATTATTATTGTAGTGAATTGCAGGCACAGTTGGATGATGTGAACACATATCAGAAATTACAAAAGGACCCCACAAGGATATACAAAAAGGAATTGGAACAATTAATTAAAATAGGTGAAAAGAAGAAAATATTAAATAGTAAAGAGGGTAGATATTTGGTACCGGAATGTTGCCGTATACCTGTAATTTATACAATTCCTAAGATCCATAAAGATTCTGTGAATCCACCGGGGAGGCCAATCGTCAATGGGATCCAATCGGTATTGGCCAGATTAGGCCAATATATAGATACTTTTTTTACAACCATTGGTCCAGAATACGGTATCATATTTGAGGGATACCAAACATCTAATTCAACTTTTGGAAGAAGAAAAAAGGGAGTTCTAATACAATACTGGCCAGTGCTGACGTATCCTCGTTATATACGATTATTAACCATGAAGATGCACTAGAAGCTACGGGGTGGGGTCTTAGGGAATTAAGCAACCTCAATTGGACACAGAGAAGATTCATTACACAATGTCTTGATTTCAGCCTAAGCCACAATTATTTTTGGTATGATAAAGTTTTTTACAGACAGATTAGGGGTTTGTAGCTATGGGAGCTCGTTTTGCCCCGAGTGTGGCAAATTTGTTCATGGCCCACTGGGAGCAAGAATCAGTATACAAAGATAAACCTGTTGAACTGGCAATGTATAAGAGATATATAGATGATGTATTCATCATATGGAAAGGGGATGAAAAAAAAAATTAATGGACTTTTTAAAACAATTAAATAATAACAATAAGAATATAAAGTTTATATGGAAATGCAGTAATCAATCCATCCAATTTTTGGATTTGGATATTCGAGTGCAAGGGGAAACTATTAGTACTAAAACGTATTTTAAAGATGTTGATAAGAATGGTTACATTCCGATAGAGAGTTGCCATTTTCCCCCTTGGTTACTCAACATCCCAAAGGGCCAGTTCATCAGGTTGAAAAGGAACTGTACATATTAAGATGATTATGATACTCAGGCTATGATTTTGGAAAAAAGGTTTATATCTAAAGGGTATGTGGTGTCGGATCTTGAGAAAAATAAATTGGAGGTGGCTAATATAGATAGAGAAACTTATTGCAAATAAAGTTAAAAAATGTTGATCAAGTAGCGGTCATCTTGGATTTTAATTTACAATATAAAAAGATCTAAAACATTTTTAAGAAACATTGGCCAATTTTAAAGATGGACCCCATATTAGGTAATCTATTGCCAGAACAGCCCAAGTTTATCTACAGAAGAGCCCCTACATTGAGGAATAAAATAATGAGGAATGTATTGGATCCACCGAGGGTGAATAGAGAAAATACCCTGTTTAGTGTTACCGGTTTTTTTTCCCTGTAAAAAAATGCAGTGTCTGTAAAGCTACAAAAGGGCAGAATCAAAAAAGGAATGCGTTTATATCTAAGAGCAATGGGAGGTCATTTGAAATCAAAGATTTTATTACGTGTAAAACTGAAGGTGTTGTCTATGTTCTAGAGTGCAACTGTGGTCTGCAGTATGTGGGACGCACTAAAAGGGCTTTGTGGGTTAGATTGAGAGAACATGTGAAAAATATACAAAAGGGTAACCCAAAACACAGCGTCTCCAAACAGTCATCATGGGAATGACCCCTCGGGATTGAGATTCTGGGGGGTAGAACGATATAAAAAAACATTGGAGAGGGAGCCACAAGGTGAGAACAATAAGTCAGGCAGAGTCGAAATGGATTTTTCTTATGCAAAAGCTGACACCTAGAGGTTTAAATATTGAATTTGACCTCAATTGCTTCATTAATGATTTTTAATGATTTGTAATACTGCTTGGTTTAACTTAAAATGTTTAATGCAAAAATTGGTGGCGTATAAATGATTTATGTATGTATTTATTTATGTAAACATGTGGTATGGGTACTACACAGGAGTTTCATTGGAATAGGTTTATTAAATTTTATTTAATTCTTTAGAATTATGACTTAATTTTAATTAATATTTCTTCAAATTTTATAATTAATGTGTTTTAATATAATCGCAATATATATAATTAATTTTTTAATAAAAACATTTTTCATGGAATGGGGCAGCTTCAATAAATTTATATAGGGGAGCGGAGCTATTTTCAGTGGATATATGTTATACATATATCTATTAATCCCCTAGTCACATGTATATATTTATACATTTATCAATTAAATTTTTTCCCTTTTCATTTTTTTATATTTATATATGGATATATATATTTATATAGTGTATAATTAAATACAATTTTAATATTTTAAATAAATTGATTTGTTTAAATAAAGTAATTTATGATTGAAGAGTAAATGTAATGAGTTTAAGCAGAGAAGGTATAATGGGAAACCAGGGGGAGTAGCGGCGGCACACGGCTGTCCTGTGTAGATCGGGCTCCAAGAAAATGGAGGTCATACACGCCCCTTGCAAATTATTCCAAGAGCTTAAAAGGAAGTCCTGTCATCAAATGCGGCATCCTGAAGAAGCCACGTGATCGTGGCGCAACGCGTCGACGTATTTCCGGTCATAGGGGTGACGTACTTCCGGTTCCGGGTTCGGACGCCATCTTGGTACACCTGAGTATACCCATAGCACATGGGAAATTGCTTCTCTCTGTTGGAGGATATGTGAGTGCGTTTTTTGTTATCTTAACCTTGAGTGCATTAAAATAGTGTTGCACTATGGAGGTCTGTTCTTTTCTTGCATATGCGCCCTGTTTTTGAGCCCGTATTGTGAGGGAAGGTATTTGAGAGGAACCCATTGCTTGGAGGAGGATCTTGATTAAAGTCGGTGGAGGCAGTGGAGTATCAATATCCTGGCAGATATATATTATATATATATAAAGCTTTGTGACCCGCAAGGGTCGAATGTGGAAGGTGAGGGGGCACTTTGGCTATTAATGAGGGGAGTCACTTCAAGAGTCACGAAGAGCACAATTGCAGCATGGAGTGAAATCATAACCACAGTGTATTGAACACTTTTATTATTTTGCACAGTGTGGCATCACTAATAATTTTGAATTTGATCTTGCATTATATTTTGTATAATATCACTTTGCACAGTTTAAGTGTCATTCTGTTGAATATCACTATTGACCACTAGGGGGTGTATAATTTATGTGGGGGATTTTGCACTAGATTTTTGTAGATTGATTATTATTTAATTTATTATGGAAGGATATAAGTTGAGCGCTTCATCATTTATATAATATGTTGTGTCCTCATCCATCTTCTTGCCTAGAGTGGCTTTTAGTTTTTACTTAAACTAGGACAGTGTCTTGCCTTTCTTATTTTCCTAGTCCACAGTCTGCATGCTCTGGATGTGGTTTGGGTGGTCAGGATTAACTTTGATGGCACAGGTCAAGAATCCTGATTTGTGCTGTCAGAAGAGCCCAGAAATGGCAGGCTGTTCCAGGTCAACTAATTGTTGTTGGATCCACTAGTAAATCACTCAAGCCTATGGTTTGAAGGATAAGGTTCCACCCTTTCGGATGAGAGCACACTCAACCAGGAGTGTGGGGGCATCTTGGGCTATCTGCCTTCAGGTGTCACTTTCTCAGGTTTGTAAGGCCCCTACATGGTCTTTGGTTCATACGTTGATAGGGGTTTACCAGGTGGATGTCAGAGCCTCAGAGGATTCTGCATTTGACTGCAGCGTTTTGCGTACGGCTGAATAGGTCCTTGGGGATTGATTGTGGTGGCTATTATGGTGTCACCCACCCCTCAAAGTTTTTTTGTATTGCTTTAGTACAGTCCACATAGTCATTAATAGCCTGCTCTGTGTCCTGTGATGTACGATAAAGAAAATCGGATTTTTTCTACATACATACCTGTAAAATCCATTTCTTGGAGTACTTCACAGGACACAGAGGTTCCTGCCCTTTTTTAGGAATGTAATTCTTTGCTACAAAGTACTTCCTATGTAGGAGGGGATATAATGGGGGGGGGGGGGACTTCCTTTCTGGTCGGCCAGTGTCCATAGCCTGCTCTGTCCCGCGATATACTCCAAAAAAATGGATTTTACAGGTAAGTATTTAGAAAAAAATATAGAATTTTTTCTTTTGTTTGTCTTTTGGCTTTGCACTGTTGTAACCCTAGGTTTAAGGAGTATATATCAGCTTGGGACTGTTCATAAAATAAACAATGCTGATTTATGCCCAAAGCAAACGGGCCCTCCTTATCTACTTGGACTCAGAAATCAATTTTTTAACTGGTGTAGTTTGTCTCTTGTGTAAACATGTGAACATTATTGGCCATGTGTGAGTGACTGGACTTAGATCAGCAAGATTACATAAATTTTGGCAGGACAAGTATCCCACTTCTGCTTGCTGCAATGGCTTGAAAAGTAACTGGTCTGAAGTATAGGTGTATTTTCCTCTTAACTTTTACTGAAATATTTTCCAACTGTTTAGGAACTGTTACAAAGCAAATTTTTCATCTTAAGTCCTGCGCCATTGAAGGGACTCGTCTCTCCTGCACAAACACCAACCTGTCGGAGACGGTCAGCACGTTTCAGCACTGCCAGCAAAAGCATCCTGGCTAATAAATCTGCACTAAAACCATTTTCTCTGTCAGTGACTAAAATGAATGTTAGGTAAGTAAAGCAACCTATTTATGGTAATTTTTATTATCACCTTAATATGCTTATTTATTTCTTTAGCTGTCAATTGTGAGAACGGTCTTTCCATGCTAACGGTACATAAGGCAATGAGTTTCATCCTCTTTGCCATCTGTTAAAAAATTATTCCTGACTCAAAACACACGCTGACTGGAGCTCAGAAATGCACAAATCTCCCCATTCTTTTTAATCTCATTCTAGTTTGGTCTTGGAGTGGTGGCTAGGGAGCTCTCCTTCCCCTTTTCTTGGCAGACTCAAGAGCTTGCAGACACAAATTCAGCTGCCAACAGAAACAAGATAGTGGATACTCAAAAGTACTTGAAATACAAAGATAGGGCACTGAAGGAGATCAATCACATATACAGTTGTGTTCAAAATAATAGCAGTCAGACATCACTAACCTGATCAATCACTGTTTTTGGTAGAAATGATATTTCTACATAGCAAATAATTTACTAGCAGGTGTAGTAGAGTAATAGAAATCCAACAGACCCAACAGTCATGACACGCATGCTGCTGATTCTGTGTAATTGAATCACTAATTGAAAGGGGCATGTTCAAAATAAAAGCAGTGTGGAGTTCTATTAGTGAGGCCATTCATTCTTTGAAAAAAAATAACAGGTGGCAATTATTGCCCTTATTTAAGGAAGGAAGGCAACAAATGTTGTACATGCTGGTTACAGTGCATTTCTCTCCTGAAATTCTGAGGAAAATGGGTCGTTCCGATCGCAAATGCTTTAAAATGGCAACCAAAACCAGAAAGACGTGGAAGAAAGCGAAAAACTACCATTCGAATGGATAGAAGAATAGCCAAAATGGCAAGGACTCAGCCAACAATCAGCTCCAGGAAGATCAAAAAAAGGTCTAAAGTTACCTGTGAGTACTGTTACAATTAGAAGACACCTATGTGAAGCCAAGCTATCTGCAAGAAGCCCCCACAAAGTCCCACTGTTGAGAAAAAGACGTGCTGAAGAGGTTAAAAATTTGCCATAGAGCACATTGACTGGCCTAAAGAGAAATGGCGCAACATTTTGTGGACTGATGAAAGTAAGCTTATTCTTTTTGGGTCTAGTGGCCGGAGACAGTTTGTCAGACGACCCCCAAACACTGAATTCAAGCCACTGTACACTGTGAAGACAGTGAAGCATGGTTGCGCAAGCATCATGATATGAGGATATTTCTCATACTACGGTGTTGGGCCTATTTATTGCATACCAGGGATCATGGATCAGTTTGAATACATCAGAATACTTGAAGAGGTCATGCTGCCTTATGCTGAAGAGGAAATGCCCTTGAAATGGGTGTTCCAACAAGACAACGACCCCAAACACACCAGTAAACGTGCAACATCTTGGTTCCAGACCAACAAGATTGACGTTATGGAGTGGCCAGCCCAATCCCCGGATCTTAATCCAATAGAAAACTTGTGGGGTGACATCAAAAATGCAGTTTCTGAGGCAAAACCAAGAAATAGAGAAGAACAGTGGAATGTGGTCCAATCATCCTGGGCTGGAATACCTGTTCACAGGTGCCAGAAGTTGGTTGACTCCATGCAACACAGATGTACAGCAGTTCTCAGAAACAGGGGTTATACAACAAAATATTACCGTATTTTTCGCACCATAAGACGCACTTTTTTCCCCCAAAAAAAGGGGGGAAAATGTCAGTGCGTCATATGGAGCGGCCGGTCCGGTATTTCCACTGCCGCCGTGTCAGAATACCGGGCCGGCCACTCAGCTCTACAGCGGGACCTTATAGAGATGACTGCTGACCTTTGGGGAGGGGGGGGAGCGGGTACCTGAATTTGACAGATACCCGCTCCCACTTCCGTGGAGTTGTTCTTTCATCTTACCTGTTCCTCTATCCAGCGGCGCGGTCTTCCCGGCTTCTGTAGTGTGGGCATGACAGCCGGGTGCCAAGTGCGCATGCGCAGGAAGCGGTGCTTTTTGTGAATGGTAAGGCGGCACCTGGGACACATGACAGATCCCAGAAGCCGCCGGACCAATCACAAAGCGCAAGTGCTTCTCGCTCATGCGCACTGGGCACCCGGCTGTCATGCCGAGCGCCATTACAGAAGCCGGGAAGACAGCGCGCGGCTGGATAGAGGAACAGGTAAGATGAAAGAACAACTCCTCGGAAGTGGGAGTGGGTACCTGTCAAATTCAGGTACCCGCTCCCCACCTCCCCAAAGGTCAGTAGTCATCCCCTGTACTATCCACAGTCTCTGGTCATCCCTGTACTGTGTCTGCAGTCTCTGGTCATCCCTGTACTGTGTCTGCAGTCTCTGGTCATCCCTGTGCTGTCCGCAGTCTCTGGTCATCCCCTGTACTGTGTCCGCAGTCTCTGGTCATCCCCTGTACTGTGTCCGCAGTCTCTGGTCATCTCCTGTACTGTGTCCGCAGTCTCTGGTCATCCCTGTACTGTGTCCGCAGTCTCTGGTCATCTCCTGCACTGTGTCCGCAGTCTCTGGTCATCTCCTGCACTGTGTCTGCAGTCTCTGGTCATCCCTGTACTGTGTCCGCAGTCTCTGGTCATCCCCTGCACTGTGTCCGCAGTCTCTGGTCATCTCCTGTACTGTCCGCAGTCTCTGGTCATCCCCTGTACCGTGTCCGCAGTCTCTGGTCATCCCCTGTACCGTGTCCGCAGTCTCTGGTCATCTCCTGTACCGTGTCCGCAGTCTCTGGTCATCCCCTGTACCGTGTCCGCAGTCTCTGGTCATCTCCTGTACCGTGGCCGCAGTCTCTGGTCATCTCCTGTACTGTGGCCGCAGTCTCTGGTCATCTCCTGTACTGTGGCCGCAGTCTCTGGTCATCTCCTGTACTGTGGCCGCAGTCTCTGGTCATCTCCTGTACTGTGGCCGCAGTCTCTGGTCATCTCCTGTACTGTGGCCGCAGTCTCTGGTCATCTCCTGTACTGTGGCCGCAGTCTGGTCATCTCTGGTCATCTCCTCTCTGTACTGTGGCCGCAGTCTCTGGTCATCTCCTGTACTGTGGCCGCAGTCTCTGGTCATCTCCTGTACTGTGGCCGCAGTCTCTGGTCATCTCCTGTACTGTGGCCGCAGTCTCTGGTCATCTCCTGTACTGTGGCCGCAGTCTCTGGTCATCTCCTGTACTGTGGCCGCAGTCTCTGGTCATCTCCTGTACTGTGGCCGCAGTCTCTGGTCATCTCCTGTACTGTGGCCGCAGTCTCTGGTCATCTCCTGTACTGTGGCCGCAGTCTCTGGTCATCCCCTGAACTGTGTCCGCAGTCTCTGGTCATCCCCTGAACTGTGGCCGCAGTCTCTGGTCATCCCCTGAACTGTGTCCGCAGTCTCTGGTCATCCCCTGAACTGTGTCCGCAGTCTCTGGTCATCCCCTGAACTGTGTCCGCAGTCTCTGGTCATCACCTGTACTGTGGCCGCAGTCTCTGGTCATCTCCTGTACTATGTCTGCAGTCCATTAGTTCAGAATTTTTTTTTCCTGTTTTCTGCCTCTAAAACCTAGGTGCGTCTTATGGTCAGGTGCGTCTTATGGAGCGAAAAATCCGGTAAGTGATTCAAAGGAAAGCAAAATCTTCAAACATTTTTCAGTTTATATAGTGAATGTTTGAGTTTGTAAAGAAGAATACAAACACTGCTATTTTTTTGAACAGTCCAATATTCACTTTTCTTCAATTTTTTGAGAGGAACAACACAAATTTGATCTATTTTTCTTCATGTTTTTTTTGGAATAGAATGTGTAGTGTTCCCAATGCATTTGTGTGTATGGAAATAAAAGCTATTAGAAGGATTTTGAGCTTTATTCACTTTTTTCAACACACTGCTATTATTTTGAACACAACTGTACATATTGCATAATAGTCCATAATGGCTTAGAATTAATTTGATGTCTGAGGATATAGAAAAAGGACCCTAACCCTGAGGGTGATTGATTTACAGGCCGTATATTTGGGACACTGGAAGCAGAAGTCAGAAAGTCTTGGAAGGCAATGGTAGAGTGGTGCACATCTATAGATCACATAGGTTGTGTGCCTTATGATATCCTGTTATTGGAGGTGTTGTGTTGACAACTGGCTGAGACTTATTCAGAGATAATAAAGAAGCTGGTTTTAAGCACCTTAAAAAAAAAAAAAAAAGATGTATACCAGGGCTTTCCTCTGCATATACAGTGGGTAAAATAAATATTGAACATGTCACCATTTTCTCAGAAAATATATTTCTAAAGGTACTATTGATATGAAATTTTGACCACATGTCGGTAGCAACCCATGCAATCCATACATACAAATAAAACTAAAACAATAGGTTCAGAAATTAGGTTGTAATAAATGTAATAAAATGGAATGACACAGAAAAAAGTAGTGAACACACCAAATTAAATTTAATACTTCGTACAAAATCCTTTGTTGGTAATGACTGCTTCAAGACGCCTTCTGTATGGAGAAACTAGTCGCATACATTGCTCAGGTGTGATTTTGACCTATTCTTACACACACAGTCTTCTAATCTTGAAGGTTCCATGGGCCTCTTCTATGAACTCTGATCTTTAGTTCTTTCCATAGATTTTCTGTTGGATTCAAGTCAGGTGTCTGGCTGGGCCATTCTAGCAGCTTTATTTTCTTTCTTTCCAATTGAGAGTTTCCTTGGCTTTGTGTTTGGGATCATTTGTCTTGCTGAATAGTCCACCCTCGTTTTATCTTCATAGTCCTGGTAGATGGCAGCAGATTTTATCAAGAATGTCTTGGTACATTTTAGCATTCATCCTTCCTTCAACAATATGAAATTTGCCAGTACCGTATGCTGAAAGACAGCCTGATACCATGATGTTCCCTCCCCTATGCTTCACTGTTGGTATAGTGTTTTTGGGGTGATGTGCAGTGCCATTTGACCTCCAAACATTACATTTTGGTCTCATCTGACCAGACTATATTCTCCCAGTATTTCACAGGCTTGTCTAAATGTGCTGCAAACTTTAAATAAGCTTCAACATGCTTTTTCTTTAGCAATGGAGTCTTTTGTCGTGAGCATGCATACAGGCCACGGGTGAGTGAATTACTTATTGTTTTCTTTGAAACAATTGTACCTTCTAATTCCAGGTATTTCTGAAGCTCTCCACAAGTAGTTCTTGGCACTTGGACAACTCTTCTGATAATTCTTTTCACTCCTCTGTTAGAAGTCTTGCGAGGAGCACCTGGTCATGGCTGGTTTACGGTGAAATGATGTTCTTTTCACTTTCACATTAGGGCCCCAGCCGTGCTCACTGGAACATTCAGAAGTTTAGAAACCCTTCTGTAACCAATGCCATCAGTATGTTTTGCAACAATAAGGTTGCAAAGGTCTTGAGAGAGCTCTTTGCTTTTACCCATCATGAGATGTCTTTTGTGTGACACCTTTTTTTATAGACATCAGTTGAGACTGAAGCAGCTGATATTAGTTTGCATAGACAAGTGGCAGGATTGCTTTCCAAGTACTCATAGATTTCAGCTGGTGTATTGGCTTTCCAATGCTTTTCGCACTTCCCGTTCTTCATGTGTTAAATACTTTCCCCTCTGTCATTCCATTTTATTACACAACTTAATTTCTGAACTTATTTTGGTTTCTTTGTATGTATGGATTGCATGTGTTGTTGCCAACATGTGGTGCAAATGTCATGTCAAAACACCTTTAGAAATATACCATATTGCCAAAAATATTGGGGCACCCCTCCAAATCATTGGATTCAGGTATTCCAGTTGCCTCTATGGCCATGGGTGTATATAATCAAGCACCTAGGCATGAGGACTGCTGCAAAAAACATTTGTAAAAGAATGGGTCTCTCAGTGAATGCAAGCATGGCACCGCGATAGGTTGCCACCTGTGTAATAAGTTCATCTGTGATATTTCCTTGCTACTAAATATTCCAACTGTTAGTGCTATTATAACAAAGTGGAAGGAAATGGGAACAACAGCAACTCTGCCACAAAGGGGTAGGCCATGTAAAAATACAGAGCAGTGTCCGCGCAGAAGTTGCCAAATGTCTGCAGAGCCAACATCTAAAGACCCCCAAACTTCCTGTTTCAGATTAGCACAGCAACAGTCAAAAAACAACAGTGTTTTTATTGTCAACGTTTTGATGAAACTCAGTCCATCTTTCTCAAGACACTAAAACATAGAAGTGAACAGACTAATAAACCCAAAGTCCCCCCCCCCCCCCCCCCCCCCCCAGTGATGACCTTACACAATGCAGTGGTTAAAAGTCACATACATGGAAAGGGTAAAAAAAAATCACAAAGAGTAAAACAAACTAGTTGAAAAACAAGCAAACTCCTAGCTGAAAATAAGCTATAAAAATGACAAATTGCAAAAAAATGTGGAACAAACAGAGCAGGTAATAATTATTCAAGGATGGCCGCCATAGCGCATGGAAAACACCAGATAGGCATGGACCATCCTTAATAAGTACCATGTTACCCCATGACCAAACACCCCACATGTGGCAAAAGTAAACAATTATATGAACGTGAATAGCACCCGACCTAAGACCATAGATTGACAGAAAACACAAAGCCCAAATGGGCTTAATGAACAGCTAAGCCTCAATTGCTTTTTATGATACTTCTGGTTAACTACCTGTTTGTGCGTTTGACAACCGAACTGATAGAGAAATGATGGGCAGAACACAGTTAGTGGTATATTTGCTCTCTCACTGGATGGATATCCATTTGCCTGCCTTCTTTTTACTTAGGTGTTCTGACCCTGATCTCTTTGATAAAAGTTTTGACATATATGTGTAAATTGCCATGTTATGCCGTTTTTTTGCTTTTTTGTTTCTATATTAGACTGATTCCTTTGAGTGCGCAAACTTTTTCTTTAATAGAAACCTCAGTTTCCATACTCCCTCCTTTTGATTTTGATGGTGGAAACCAACTGCCTTGACTGACACCAATAGGAAAAAACATACCGTCATTACTCCTCTGCAACTATTCCTATATCTGAATCCTCAGGTTTCTTCTTTCTGGTTGTGAAGTAATGATTAATGCTATGTACATGTTGTACGTATTCCTATGTTTGTGCACTGTCTGTTTTTTTCTGTGGTTCTATCTCATTTTCTGCCATTTAGGTGCTATACTAGACGGAATCTTCTGTGTGGTGTTATGGGTGTCCAGACCCTTTTTCTTTCATGGAAACCTCAGTAGGTTTCCACATCTACTCCTCCTGTTTGGGATGGCATGTTTTTCACCTAGTGGTGTTATTCTTGGGGTTCTCACTATCATTCCTCCTCTCCAACTATTTATATAGCCGAGTCCTCTGGTTTCTTCTATCTGGTAGTGGATTATTGATTTATAGTACGTACATTTGTTTGTGTTTCTGTCTATGCGCTCTGTCTGTGTTTTTTGTCGATCTATGGTCTTATGTCGGGTGCTATTCACACTCTTGTTTACTTTTGACAAAAGTGGGGTGTTTGGTGTTGGGTAGTATTTTTGTGGTCATTTTTTTCATTTATTGCTTTGTTGTCCTAGCATATCACTTGTTGTTATATTATTTTTTCATGGTACTTATGGTTGGTCCATGCCTGCCTAGTGTTTGCCATGTGCTATGGTGGCCATCTTGTGAGTTTTCATTACCTGTTTGTTCCAGTTTTTCTGCAATTATTCATTTTTATGTATGAACTATTTTGATTGTTTTCAGCTAGGATTTTGCATTTTTTTGTTTTTTATGAACTATTGTGTTTTTTTGTTTTTTTTTAACCTTTTCCCTGCATGTGTCTTTTAACACTTGCACTGTGTGAGGTTGTTGGTGGGTGGGACTTTGGGTTTATTAGTCTGTTCACTTCTATGTTGATAAAGATGGACTGAGCTTCTTCGAAACCTTGACAATAAAAACACTGCTGTTTTTGATCTTCCTTCTCTGCAAGACCCATGAGTGCCTCTAAACTAGTTTTGGATTTAAATGTATTTCTTTGTGGGTGAGCACCTGGGCATTTATCTCAAACATAGTGCCGTGTACCTTTTGGAACTATATATAGATAAATATAGAAACAATTCAAAAGGATTGATGCACATACAATTTATTTAGAATGCAATAATATTTACAAAACATTATCAAAGTATTCCATAGCATGACCGTTTCAGGCTAAAATGATCATGTCCTTCCTCAGATTGGAATACATCCAAGTCCTGAATAACATACAACTATTTAAATATATCTTACAACATTTGGAATCAGTTAACCAATTTAACAAATCAATCAAGCTGATATCACCATAACATGTTCAATTAATCAAAAGGCAAGGAGGTGGTTAACGCAATAGGTACATTCCCTGACTTAACGTGAAAACAATCACTAAAGTATCAAAATAGTTTTTTTTAAAAAAAAGCTATATAACATTATCTAGAATTTTAAAGAGACCATCATTTATACAAATAAATTGAAATCCAAATCAGAGTTAGACCTCTAACTAATGTATCCACTGTACCTCACGTTTTCTCAGAATCAATTCACGGTTCCCACCTCTTCTATTCTTCTTCACCTTGTCTATGACCATAAATTTCAATTGTGAAACAGCATAACCTTGCTTAACAAAATGCATTGCAAGTGGTAATTGAGTCAACTTACCTCTTATTGAATATTTATGTTGTACAATACGGTGCTTAATTTTTTTCAGTTGTCTCACCCACATAGAGAAACCCATAATGGCATTTAATCACGTATATAACATAGGATTAATATTAAGGGGTATTTTACATGCCAGTCCTTCTATGTCCACTATGGGGATGAGACAAATATTTTACCTTTTATCATAGAATTACACTGAATACAATTGAGACAAGGATATTACCCAGCATTCCCAAAAAGGCTACTGGTAAACTAGTTGAAAAATGCTGATCAGTTTTAACTAGTCTATCAAGGAGAGTGCGACCACATCTATATGATGGAAGATAGAATTTAAAAAAGTTGGATTATTTCCTTAGGCATTGACTAGTGTTTTTTAATGATATTCTGTATACGTAACAAACGGGTGAAACTGTGATACAAACAGTGTTCTCTTGTCTTTTGTGATATTTCTGTTAGAATTAAACAGATTACACCTTTCTCTTTGTACAAACTCTGAAGGGTAACCTCTCTAAGTCTCGCATCGCATCTAAATTATTCTCTCGTAGTAATGGGTTACTCACTATCCTAGCTACCCGAGACAGTTGTCTCTTAGGTGTGGACTTAAAGACCGCCGGGGGATGAAAGCTCTTAAAGTGTAGCAATTGGTCGCAATCTGTAGATTTTACAAACAAATCGCTATCATCTTGAATTCTTAGTTAAGTGTCCAGGAATTAAATCTCTGTACAATCAAATATGATATTAAATTTAAGACCAGGCACCAGATAATTAAAATAGTCAAATAATAGTAGGGTTCCAATGTCTCCAGACCACACCACATACAAGTCATCAATAAATATAAACCAACCACTACAGTGGGCTAAGAATATAGTAGTAGAATGAAGTAGTAGTGACCGATTCTATACCAGACACAATCAAGTGGCCTGGAGGGTTAATATGTTCTTTATGAATTTTAGGCAATACATACATTACTGGTGTAACTGGATGTTCCATAGTTAAAAAAAAAAAAAAAAAAAAAAAATGAGTCTCATTGTCAATAGTACTCCCCCGAACTGCCCATGATGTAACCATTTTAATCTCTGCCTGTACAATTCTCATTGAGTTAATAATGAATATAAAATTTGAAAATTAATATGACATTTGTTAGACACATATTGCCTATTTATGTATTTTTTATTGTGTTAAAAAAAATAGACTTTAATTTGTGTATAACCTAAATAAGCCACTTCATTTCCCTCCAGGTTTTCCGAAACCACAAAGGATAATGAACACAAGCGATCTTTGATAAAGACGCCTGCTATAAAGTCCTCCTGCTTTGAAACATCAGAGAATGAAGCAAGAAGAAGCTTCCCACTGCAAAAAAATGAACCAGTGGTGGATGCAAATAAAATTTTACTACTGTGTGAGACTGATCTGAAGTCTGAATTTAGCAAAATCTTGCTACACAAAAATCAGTCTGAGGAAAATAAAATGAATCAGCCTGGTATGTATATCATTATCAGGGGAGATCCTGCATAGTTTAAATCTAACGGTTTTAAGATCTATATAAAAAACAGCAGATCCTGAATTTATATACTTGTGGAAAATTTGCAGTTCTAGTTTAAAAGCAGTAGTAAAAAAAAAAAAAAAAAGTTTCCTCCTGTAAGGCAATATCATAATGTGCTAGTATGCACCATGTACTAGCAGATTATGAAAGACTTACCTTGAAACGAAAGCCTGCAGTGGCTAGCTGTCACTACTGCAGAGGCTTCTATCTTTACCCGGTTTCCCTTTTGGGTTGCGGTCGATTAAATGGCCAAGCCACCAATGACAGCACAGAGCTCTGAATGAATGGCATGGGTGTGTGCCATTCCTTCAGAGCACATGTGCCAGTGATGTCACCGGCAGTGCTCACTAGAATATCTCCTAAACTGTGCATATTTAGGAGATATTAACCCCTTCATTCCGACCGTACGCAAATATGCAGCCCCAGTAGACTGGGCTTTTTTTCTGTGGGGCCGTATATTTGCGTACCTGTCTTTGTGTTGTCAGTGCTCGCAAGAATATCTCCTGTCTTTGTGCTGGGAACGCACGGCACGATGCACTCCCAGCACAGACCGGGGTCTCACTGAAAGCCCTGGGTCCTGTTCAAACGATCGAGACCAAGAACTCCTGATTCCTGGTCACCTGATTGCTGTGATAGACTTTGATTGGCTATCACTGTGAAGCCTGACACCGTTTTTCCCTCTCTGAATGGAGGGGAGAGATATACTGTATCTCTCTCTGTACTTTGAGAGAAAAAAAAGTGTAAAAAATAAATGAAAATAAAAACAATTAAAACAGTTAAAAAAGAAAACCCTAGATCAAGGTTTGATCTAGGTCAGTGCCAGGGTTAGTGTGTTAGTTTTTTTGGGTCAGATGGGAGGTGGGGTAGAAAAGGCGATATAATTGTACTGTACTCATGTTAATGTTTTTTTAAAGAGTAAGATTGTATCATTTATTTATATGAAAATCAATAAATATTTAAATTTAAAAAAAAAAGATTACCTGTAGTAAATATTTAAAAGCGCAGTTTACTACCGCTTTAAATGGGCCTTTGAGGACAGCTGTAGAGTAGCTGTCATTGTCTTGTTTTTAAAAGTTCAGGATTTGGCATTATCACTTTTCTTTTGGTTTCAGTACAATTGGAATTTAGACTTTATTGGCTGTTCAGTAATACCTCGGTTCACGAGCAACTTGGTTCGCAAACAGAAGAGTTCACAAACATTTGCTTCGGTTCGCGATCTGCGCTTCGGTTGATGAACACGAGCCACGGCCATCTTGCCTGCTCTGACACGTGGTTGTGACTTCTTGTAGGCAAGATCGTGGTCACAGACAGACCCTGAAAGTGTACTGTGAAGACACTTAAAGTACTGGGGAGCTTTTTAGCACATACTGTACAGTACTGTACTGTACATCCCTGTGCACACTTGCTGTAAAGCTTTTTTGTGTGCTTTTTAGTACATACTGTACCGGACATCGAATATGGCCCCAAAGAAAATTCAGAACCTTCGCACTTTATTACCACAAGGTGGTAGGAAAAAAGTATGAAGCGTTAATGAAGGTGAGAAGAATGTGCATAACAAGCATGGTGGTAAAAAAGTGCAGAGCTGTAATGAAGGTGACAAGAATGTGCAGAGGGGTAATAACTGTGACAAGGTGCAAAGCGGTAATGAAGGTGAGAAGAATGTGCAGAGCAGTAATGAAGGTGACAAGAACGTGCAGGCTGGAATGAAGGTGACAAGAACGTACAGAGCGGTAATGAAGGTGACGAGAATGTGCAGAGCGATAATGAAGGTGACGAGAATGTGCAGAGCGGTAATGAAGGTGACAAGAATGTGTAGAGCTGTAATGAAGGTGACAAGAACGTGTATAGTGGTAATGAAGGTGACAAGAATGCGCAGAGCAATAATAAGGTTGTGAAGAAAATAACCATTGAGTTAAAGAAGGAAATTGCAGAAAAGCATGACTGTTATTCGTGTGACTGACCTGGCCTCTGAGTACAAGATGAAGTCGACAATCTCCACTATTTTGAGGAGGAAAGCTGCCATCAAAGGAGCTGATGTAGCAAAAGGAGTAATCATATTAACCAAGCAAGTGCTGGAAGAGGTGGAAAAACATTTGTTTGGTTGAATGAGAAATGGCTTACAGGTGATCGCATTAGTGAAGCTATGATCTTTGAAAAAGCCAAGAAATTGCAGTGATTTACTGCAAATAAAACCCTCTACAAGTGCAGCAAGTGAAGAATTTAAAACCAGTAGAGTGGTTTGAAAAAATCCACAAGAGAAGCGCCATCCACAGTGTGACAAGATATGGTGAGGCTTCCAGTTCTGACAAGGCCTCTGCAGAAGGCTACAAAAAAAGCATTTGCGGAATTCATGAAGGCGGAAGGCTACGTCGATCAACAAGTGTTCAACTGTGATGAAACTGGGCTCTTCTGGGAAAAGATGCTGAACTGAACCTAAATCACACGGTGGAGGAAAAGGCACTGCCAGGGCACAAGCCCATGAAGAACAGATTGACCCTTTTGCTGTGTGTGAATGCAAGCGCCAATCTGAAGATTAAGCCACTACTGGTGTACCATTCCCAGACCCCTCGTGCATTCAGGAAACAGAATGTGAACAAGGCCAGACTGCTTGTCATGTGGAGAACCAATACGAAGCTTGAGTCACAAGGCAAAGACTGGTCCCTCGCTCCCATTAAGGATTGGCACCTTTGGGTAGCGCGTACCTGTCAATTTTGGGTACCCGCTGCAATCGCCTAGGCGTTAAGAAGTGGAATTTGTCCTCCTACCCTCCCTCCCTGTAGTCTTCTGGGACACATGACAGGTCCCAGAAGACTATGGGGCCATTCAGGAAGTGCAGCACTACTCTCACATGCGCAGTGGGCACCCGGCTGTGAAGCTGCAAGCTGTCAGAGCCGGGTGCCCATACTGAAGATGCCGGAACCTGGAACACAGGATGGCTGGTGAAACAGGCTGCAGGGAGGACACCGCTGGATCGTGGGACAGGTGAGTGGCTGTTTTTTTAAAAGTCAACAGCTTATTTTATACTATGTAAAAGAAAAAATAATCAAACATTTGAAATCTGAGTTTTTAAATCATATCCTATATGAAATTGCCAGTAACACCCCTTGAATATAGAATCTCCAAGGTGATCCTATTTTTTGTAATACTTTTTTTGAAAATGAAGAAACATGCTGGTATTGAGGTGGTTAAAACTAGGAGCTTGGGAATGGTACACTAGATGCAGCACACCATTAAGTACACTCATATAAAAGATGGGATTCCTGTACAGGTCACTTACAGTAGGATGATGGAGATAATGTGAAGGATAAGGGAGGTGATGGATTAACAAACATCACTGCCGACGACATCGGGCACATTCAGGGTGATACAGGACTTCTGTAAAAAAATTGGAATTCCAAGTACCAGACATACCAGGCTAGTTGCTATGAAAGAGAAGATTCCCTTTGAGAAGGGGCAGTGGCAACTGGTGGGGAGGGGAGGAATGAGGGGTGGGATGAACTGAGTATCCTTAGGCTCTCACTCTTGCTCTTCTTGTCCTCTTCTGTTGCCATCTCCATGTAAAATTTAGAAGAGGCGGGACTTAATATTTAAGGTTGACTATCATGACGGCACTTAACTTCTCCACCTATAATATTTGGGGACTAAATACCCCGGCAAAACGATATAAGATTGTTAAGGAAATCCATCAGTACTCTGCAAGTGTGGTATTTCACATGATACAAAAGTTAAAATTTATTCAAAATATTATCCAACGTGGTATTACGGTGACTCGACAGTGAAACAAGCAAGAGGGGTAGCCATAGGAATTGCAAAATATATCAGATTTACTGTGGAAGATATAATGGCAGACCAAGAGGATTTGTTTTTGAAGGGGAGTTTATATCATATAGTATGTACATTGGTTAATACCTAATGCCCGAATAAGAACCCAATGGTCTATTTGAAGAAGGTGTTGGGCAAACTGATGGATTTTAAGAGAGGTAAATTGATTGTGGCAGGGGACTTCAAGTGCTGTATGGATTCTCAGATACTTTGGCGCATGCACAGACAATTAAATGTTGCCAGTTGAGGTTGATTAACCACTTTACAACCATGCTATAGCCGAATGACATCTACATCGCGGTTGTCCTATTCTGGGATAGCGTCCTCCCAGAATGCGCCCTTCCATGTGCCCCAACGGTGTGCACCCGGCATGGTCTGTGATTGCTAAATACAGTTGCTGGTATTGGCATCACTTTCCGTATTGGCATCACTTTCCTTACGCTGTGACAGCTTGAGGAAAGTACTGCCGATAACCGGCAAATGTCACAGAGGACATCTGCACTGATCATCAGGGCACTGGTGAGCAGTGCCGCTCAACAGTTGCACCCGTGAGTGTTGCCTATAAGTGCCTCCTCATGAATGCCCACCACTGCCGCCTCATCAGTGCAGCCTCATCAATGCACATCAGTGAAGGAGAAAAATTACCTGTTTGTTTCTATTATAAAATTTTGCAAAGAAAAATTTTTTTTTTTGCTCTTTTTTTGTTTATAGTGCAAAAAATAAAACACCCAGTGGTGATTAAATACCACCAAAAGAAAGCTCTATTTGTATGAAAATAATAAAAACTTCTTATGGTTGCAATGTTGCATGACCACGCAATTGTCATTCAAAGTGTGAAAGCACTGAAAGCTGAAAATTGCCCTGGGCTTGAAGGGGGTAAAGTGCCCGGTAGGCAAGTGGTTAAAAAGATGCTATATCAATGCTAGCTGATAGGTGCGTGGAGAATTCCATATCCTAGAGTAAAAGGATGAAAATTAGAATATCGTACAAAAGTTCATTTATTTCAGTAATGCAACTTAAAAGGTGAAACTAATATATGAGATACTCATTACATGCAAAGCAAAATATTTCAAGCCATGATTTGTCATAATTGTGATGATTATGGCTTGCAGTTC